CCTGGGGTTTCCATTCTGGGTTAAGTGGAACGAGCCAGAAACATTCTTAAGGATGTATTACTTCCCACCATAGAAGAAGACTTTGAAATACTTTCCAGAAGGAAAAAAATAAAGCAGTAACAGAGTGTGTAGGCCATCCAGGCTGTTAAGAACTAGCAGATTATTCTGAACCCAGTGCTGGGGCCCCAGATCGCAGAGCCTGGCAGGGTGCAGTGACTGCGTAGGCCTCGCTTGGAGCAAATCAACGATCAAGGAGCCCTGAATGACATCAGGTGGCAGCTCTTTGCAGGGGTTGCACTTTCCAGGATGTAGATTCTGGGGCAGTGGCACTGTCTCAACTCCTGGGCACACACCTCTGATCTCTCTATTTTTTCCATAGCTTTAGAGAAATTTTTGCAACACTGGCTACTCCTTACTTCTTTGCACAGGTTGGGAAGTCATCATATTTGGTCCTTCTGGAGCTGTTTATTCCTAGAGTCAGGAAAGGCCTTCAAACCTCCCCTAGCTAGGTGGGCCACCTAGGAGATTTGTGTTCCTACAAGGCAGCTGTGAATCCAACACTGATGTTTTCTCTCCTGTCCTCAGGGTGAGGAAATGTTGAGCCAACTCTGACCACGTAGAGAAGGAAACAGCCAAAGGGGATAGCAGAGAGAAGGAAGCTGGGGGCAGAGCTGTCCTACCCCTTGCCTACCAGCTTGGACTTCTCCATGGGAGAAAAATAAACCTTTCATCTTATTTGAAGTCACTTTATCTTGGTCTTTGTTACAATGGTTTTATCAATATCCTAACTACCACACATCCATCTCTTGAATAAAACAATAATACTCTGAACCTTTTTTTCCTTATAGAATAAAAATGGCTCACTGGTTTCTAAGGGTTTCTGTAACACTTGCCTTTTGTCTTTTCTCCCCATTGTTTTAGACTACTGATTAGGGACCCCCTGCATGTCATGCAGAGCTCCCCAGATCTCCCCCTTCTCCTAAGAATATCTAAAATTCTGCCACATTCTAAGGGGTTATGTCACTGTTGCCACATAGCCTTTCACAAAATGCAGAGCCTGGCAGGACTGTTCATTCAGATTAGGTCGCTGCCCACACTTGGCCTTAAGTGAAAGGACTTACACCGAGGACACAATCAGTCCCCCAAAATCAAGCCCCCCTGTCATTGAGATTGATCTAGAAAGTAATCATCACAGTATCAGCTTAGAACTAGTCTCTCCTGATAAGGTACAACTTATGGCTATTAAATTAAGGTTTTGGGCAGCCTGGGTGGCTCAGCGGTTTAACGCCACCTTCAGCCCAGGGCGTGATCCTGGAGACCCAGGATCGAGTCCCACGTTGGGCTTCCTTCATGGGGCCTGCTTCTCCCTCTGCCTGTGTCTCTGCCTGCTTCTGTGTGTGTCTCTCATGAATGAATGAATGAATGAATCAATCTAATAAACAAACAAATAAGTAAATAAAGGTTTTTAGGGGCACCTGGGTGGCTCAGTGGTTGAGCATCTGCCTTTGGCAGAGGTTGTGATCCAGGAATCCTGGGACTGAGTCCTGCATAAGGTTCCCCGCAAGAAGCCTGCTTCTCCCTCTGCCTATGTTTCTGCCTCTCTCTGTGTGTCTCTCATGAGTAAATAAGATTTTTTATTTTTCATTTAAGACAGAGAGAGAGCAAAGCAGGGGGAGAGGCAGACGCAGAGGGAGAAGCAGACTCCCCAGTAAGCAGGGAGCCTGATATGGGGCTTGATCCCAGGGTCCTGGGATCATGACCTGAGTTGGAGGCAGATGTTTAACCATCTGAGCCACCAAGGTGCCCTTAAAGTTTTTTTAAGAAATAGACTAATAGCTAGCCTTTAATGACCACTTAGTGTGTGCCAGGCACTCTTATAAGCACATCAAATGTATTTACTCCTTTGTCTCTCAGGCACCTCATGAGATAAGTAGTATTAGTACCTCTATTTTACAGATGAGGAAAAAGATGCCTAGAGAAGTTTGGTAACATACTCAAGTGCATGCAGTAGTAAGTGGGGACATGAGGACCTGAACCCAGGGAATCAGACTTGCTGTCAGTGCTCTTGATCACTGTGATGCAGCCTTGACAGCTCTTCCACTACTTCTACCCCCATTATTTTCAAACAAACAGATGAAATCCAGTCACTGTTAAATTTAGAGAAATAAATTCTAGAAGCAAGGCCCAGGGCAGTGATTCTTAAAGTGTGGTCCCTGTGCCACGACCATTAGCATCACCAGTGAACTTACTAAAATTACAAATTCTATGACCTCAATTCAGATCTAATCAGAAACTCTGGGAACAGGGTACCTAAGTCTATTTTAACTAGCCTCTCAGGTAGTTCTTTTTTTTAAAAAATGTTTTCTTTATTTATTCATGAGAGACATAGAGAGAGAGAGAGAGAGAGAGAGAGAGAGAGGCAGAGACATAGGCAGAGGGAGAAGCAGGCTGCTTGATGTGGGACTTGATGCCAGGACTCCTGGATCACAAACTGAGCCAAAGGCAGATGCTCAACCACTGAGCCACCCAAGTGCCCCTCTCAGGTGGTTCTGATGCACACTGAAGTTTAAAGCCCGCTGGCCTAGGAAATAATAAATAACAATAGATTTTTTTTCTTTCTTTGGGCTCTGGGAGTGGGGAAAAGAAGTGGAAAGGAGAGTTTTGTATTTAACATGAGCAATTTTCCAAACCCTCTTTGATTTGGAAGTTGCCAATTTGATACGTCTGGTGAAAACTTGCATTTGGTAATCTCACGAGTCTAAAACTTAAGATATTCTCAGTGGGCATCGTACTGCTCACTGCTCAAAATTTAAACACACAAAGATCACTGCTTAATTTAGCGTAGAAAAAGAAATCGTGGCAATTAGATGTAAGACCTATAAGGGGAAGATTGATCCTTAAATAGTTAAAAAAAAATTCCTTGGCATGCCGCCTTTTCTTTCTTCATAGATTTGAAATCCTTTTTAAACATTAGCATTTATCATTCAGGACAGGCAAATGCCTTCTTCAATTTTCTGCAGTGATATTTCACTGCATTAAAGACTGTCTGGATAACCTTTATGGAACTCAGCTGGAGCCTGTCCCTCCGTCATGAGACAGGAAATCTGTTTCGACTAACTTGGTCATTGCTTAGATTTGGCCATGTTCTGCACTGCCTAAAACCTCCACTGCACTTGGCCAAGATCTTGGAGTCTTATCAGTCTTCACATTCTGCATATGTGACTTATAATATGAAAGGTCTGAAGACTGGAGCATGTTTCCTTGGTTACTATCACTTAGCTTAAAAAATGGAGTGGGTAGGAGACTTATTTTAGCAAAATTCTGCTTCAAAGCTTGACCAAGCTCAGAAATTGGGCTACCATAATATTTTATTGTATGATATGCAGAAGCAATGAAATGTTTAAAAAAATTTTTTTGAGAGAGAGAGAGAGCACTTGTGCAGGGGTGGGGATGAGGAGCAAAGGGAGAAGGACAGAGAGAGAATCTTAGACAGGCTCCACACCCAGTGCAGAGTTCTATGTGGGGCTTGATCCTATTGAGATCATGACCCAAGCTGAAATCAAGGGCCCTATGCTCAACCGATGGAGCCACCCAGGCACCCCAGCAACGATACCTTTTAAAATGGGCATAAACATCATTTTTGTCTAGAATATCAACTGAAAGAAATAGTAAAAGATGTAAGCAGAAAGATACCAAGTTTAGGGTGAAATCCCAAATGCATGATTTTGCACATTTATCTTTATTTATTTATTTATTTATTGCACATTTATCTTTAATGAGCTCTCATGGTTTTCTTCACTTCGTGGATTCAAGAGGAGATAGGGAGAGTCGAGGTGTCATTTTACCGGTTGATAAACTGTGACCATGAGAAGGTAGATATTTAATCATTATGATATCCAAGTCAAGATAAATATTTGTTAAAGGGCTATTGTGTATGAATTACTTCATTTATTTCTCATGCAACCTTATGAATGAAGTATAATCAGCTACAGTTAAGGACACTGAGGCATAGTGGGGTTAAGGCAGAGGTAGTCCAACTTCAGGACCCATGTCCTCCACTCAGCTGCTCAGAGCTGCTGTAGCTAGCCTATATAGAGCACCTATGTAAATTCAAGCAAGGTGCCCCAGTAGAAGGGCTGAGTAGGAAAAGGAACCCCCACTGTGTGGATACCTCCCAGTCCAGAGGTGCATAGCTTTGGGAGCAGAGCACAGGCCCCTATTTGCTCTCTCTGCTGGATGCCATTGTACAGCAAACAACAAACAAATCTTTCTGGCTAGCACAGTATCCACCCCTTGAAAACACAAGAATCTCTCACATATTAGTCTCCACTCCTGCAAGATGCAATGAGGATAATGAACTGTTCTGCTACTTGGGTCTACCCAACTGTAGCATCACACAGATGCACATGTACCCCCTGGGAAGAGATCTGAGTCTAGCTCAGGGAATATGAACGATCCCAAAAAGCCCAGTTCTGGGCCCAGTGTTTCCTAGAATCAACATTATTAAATGCAGCATCATTTTTGGAGGAAGCCGCACTCACACAACTCTGGTTACCCAGGTGGTGGGTAATAGGCCTGGGTCTCTAAAGACACTGGTCCCCCTCCCCTCTGTTGGAATATTAACCCTCTAGGCAGGGAACCCTCAGCTCCTGAACCTGCATATCCAAGTCTCTGTGAAAGCAGGAAGAACAGAGAAGTGGAAGTGCCTGCGTAGCCTTTTTGTGATGCCCCAGAGTCTCCACTCTCCTCCATCAATCTGCGGTCTCTGGCAGGAAAGAAATCTCTCAGTAAGTCCAAGGATATAAAAGTGTGTTATCATCAGTCGGTTTGCGATGCACTAAGATCAATCAGAGTCTGAATTTAGCACTTTGGTATGTTTTCTGACTTCTAGCTCTGATAGGAAATGGAAGGGTCATTCTGCATTAATATCTTTGAACCAGTGCAAACCTCATCAGACAATTATTGTGATAAGACTTAAAAACCAATCCAGTCATCTCTACCTTGGGTGTCTTGATTTTCTCGGAGGGGTTCTCCTGGTTCTTCATGATAGTTCAGTTCATCTCCATTTTCCTATGAGATTAATACATAATAAAAAAAAGTGCGTAAGACAAAAATAAAGGCAAATACTCCTGTGGTCTGTGCCCTTGGTAAAAGGAAATCCAGTTTTCTTAGTTGTTTTTTTCTCCTTTTTTGTCAACTTATTTTAACTTACAGTGTCCAAGAAGTCTAGTACCAGTGTGAATAGCCCTAAAGAGCCAGGTGGGCTTAGCTACAGTGTTGAGCACTACTGGGGTTTTAGTGGTACTTTTCTTGTGGGAGGCTTGCCTATTCATGTGCACAGGGTTCCAGGCTGGCCTTAACTGGTTGGGGGGGAGGTTGTGGGGTGGTGGAGAAGAATGCCACACCCAAAAGCCAACTCTCAAAAGAAACAAGGTACCTCTAGGGACTTGATACAGGACTGGTGCAATGATAGCAGATGCTGAAAGAATGGAAAAGGTGGGATGAATCAGAATCCCAAGGCCTTGAAGATAGGTAGATTAAGGGCTTTGGTCTCTATCTTGAGAACAAATGGAAGGTACTGAGGGTTTAAGGCAGGGAAGCAAAAGCGTCAGGTTGGCCTTCTGTCGAGTTTCCAGGATTACCATGGATATGGTTTCTTATCACATCTAATCCCCTCTTCCTTCTTTCTCCCAGTCATACAAACTGTGCAGTCCACCATCTAAAAGTCTCCATAACAGTAGTTCTCAACTCTGGCTGCACAGTTAGAATTATTTGTGGAACTTTAAAAAGTATGATTTCCAGAGGATCCCTGGGTGGCTCAGTGGTTTAGCGCCTGCTTTCGGCCCAGGGCATGATCCTGGGGTCCGGGGATCGAGTCCTACATCAGGCTCTCTGCATGGAGCCTGCTTCTCCCTCTGCCTGTGTCTCTGCCTCTCTCTCTCTCTCTCTCTCTTTCTCTCTGTGTCTCTCATGAATAAATAAAATCTAAAAATATATATATAAATAAATAAAAAGTATGAGTCCCAGTATTGACCCTCAAACAATAAACTTTCTGGAACTAGAGCATTTTTAAGGCTTCTTGGTTGATTCCAATATGTAGCCAAGACTGACAGTCACCATTGTCCTCTAGAGCATTATTAGAAGAGCAACTTGTTGGTAGCCAAAGTGATGTGGCAGGTAGTCAATGACTTAAGTAAAGCCACATGTGTCTGATGAAACCAGCTCTTGGCCTTTGTCACTGGGATCTCTGCTGAATCCACAGCTTCATTTGAGTTATAGAGAAGGAACTAGATATGGAAAACCCTGGAAGTCTCTCCTAGGACTAAAGTTCCTCAATCTTTAGTGACAATCAATTTTTCCACCTTGTTATCAAATATCCATACTGCTTTGGGAAGAGACAATGAATTGTCTGCTACTTTGTTTGACATTCTCTTCTTACTCTGGGGCTTTTTATCTTGTGTGTTTCTTACTGGTTAGCTTCATGTTTGTAGCCAATGAGACATTCTGACATAAAAGAGCAAGAGCTGGGGTACCCAGCTGGCTCAGTTGGAAGAGTGTATGACTTTTGATATCAGGGTTCTGAGTTCAAGCTACACGTTGGATGTAGAGATTATTTGAATAAATAAATTTTTAGAAAAAAAGAGCCAGAGCAGGTAAATTCTTTCTTTCTTTTTTGGCTTTTTAAGTTTATTTATTTATTTTTGTGATCTCTATAGTAATCTCTATAGCCAACATGGGCCTCAAACTCATGACTCTGAGAGCAAGAGTCATATCATGCTCTTCTGAATGAGCCAGCCAGGTGCCCCTTAAGTTTTTATTTTAATTCCAGTTCATTAACATACAGTGGTATATTAGTTTTACATGTACAAAAAAAATTAGGAATGCTTCCCAAATTTGTGTGTCATCTTTGTGCAGGGCCCATATTAATCCTCTCTGTATCATTCCAATTTTAGTACATGTGCTGCTGAAGTGAGCACAGTAATTTTCTTTCTTTTGTAGTTCTCATTTTGGAGAAAAAGCAGATTTGGCCTTAGTGTAGTAAAAAAAAAATCATCCCTAAATAAATGGAAAGTTTTTTTTGAAAAATTACAGCAGGAAAACTCACCTCAGTCAAAATAAACTGCTAAGTTATAAGAGTAGAAAAGAGATAAACCGAAAGACAAGTTCCTGTTTATAAATCCTTTTAATCCAACAGGAAATTGGATTAAAAAGGAGAAACAAGTTTGCTCCTTTGGAAGAATTTCAAAGGCAACGATTAACCTTCAGTCTTAACAATATATAGCTATGAGCCTTTAGGGGCAAGAAATATTCTTCTCATTTCACAGATAGGGAGATGGAGGCAGAGAAATCAGGGACTCAAAAGAACATTCTTGCAGATCCCTGTTAGAAAAAGTAGTCTGAATTTGAAATTCTGTCTTTTGCTTAGAAAACTATCAAAAAAACCTATGGTGTTTTAGATATATGAACACACGTAAGAAATGACATACACCTAAGGTCATTCACTGCAACAGATTTGAAACAACCTAAAAGTGCTACCAATCCAGGACTAGTCAAATAAATTATGGTAATTCACACAATGGAATATTATGCAACCATGAAAAACACCTCTTTAAGAATTAACATAGAAAGAACTCCAAAAAAGAAAGAAAGAAAGAACTCCAAGATCTATTAAGTAAAAAGATGTAAAACTCTGAACAATGTGTATAATATTAAAATGTGTGTAAAATGTATGTCTGTGTATTCCTCTATGTGTACTGCCTTATATATGTGTACTACAGGTCAGGAAGGACACACAGGAAGCTAGCAACAGTGAAACCCAAGGGGCAGGGAACTGAACAGCTGACATACCCTGACATACCCTTTTGTACTTATTTTTTCAAAAACCATCGGAGTATATTTCAAATTCAAAATCTGAGTTAAAAAAATTAAAACTACTAACATAACATTGTAGGCCAACTATGTATCAATTTAAAAAAACCTAAACCAGGGATGCCTGGGTGCCTCATTCAGTTAAGCGTCTGCCTTTGGCTCAGGTCATGATCCCAGGGTCCTGGGATAGAGTCCCACATAGTCGTCAGGCTCTCTGCTCAGCAGGGAGTCTGCATCTCCCTCTCTCTCTGCCTGCCACGCCCCCCACTTCTGCTCTCTCTCTCTGTGTCAAATAAATAAAATCTTTAAAACAAAACAAAAAAACCCTAAACCAAATAAAATACAATTTGTCATTTTTAGTATAAATTACTATAAATGACTAAACCAAGTGATTGAAACGCGTAATAACACTTGCTGAGTGAGCGAAACAACTGAAGGACTGGAAATTTGATCCCAGCTTGGTATTCTGGCCAAGTCATTTGCTCATCATCTGTTCACTTAGTGCATGAACACTGATTGAGTGTCGTGCGCCAGGTCGTGTGTCAGGCATTGTGAGCTCCAAGCTGAAAGATCTACTTTTTTTTTTTTAAGATTTTATTTACTTATTCATGAGAGACACAGGGAGAGAGAGGCAGAGAAAGGGAGAAGGCAGAGGGAGAAGCAGGCTCCCCACAGGGAGCCCGATGTGGGACTTGATCCCAGGGTCCTGGGATCACGACCTGAGCCAAAGGCAGATGCTCAACCACTGAGCCACCTAGATGCCCCTGAAAGATCTATTTGTAAACAGCTCACTGACTTGTGCAGAAACGATGTAAAACCTCAGCATTGCAATACTGTGATAAATGCTGTGACAGATTATGACAGGTTTCTGCAGGACCTCACAGGAGGTGAAGCTTAAATTAGTCTGGGGAAGGCTTGTTTACAGGGCACATGGTGCTAAGTCTTGCAGAGAAGGGGAGGTAGGGTAGTTCCCCGCAGAGGAAGCAGCAATGTGCTGGTCTGGGGGTAGCTTGGTGTGGCTGCAGTGCACGGACAAGTGTGAATTAGATATGGGCCAGATCTTGTAGGTTGCAGTACAGAGTTTAAAAAAGGATTGATTTGTTATATTTTTCTATTTCTAAAAGAAATACAACTTTGATGCCAGGATTTAACCAGAAAGCCAATAGGGATATGGTAAGGCATTTCAAGCAAACCAGTGATAGGACTGAGCTGTATTTAGAAAGAGCACTGACAGCAGTGTGGTCCTATAGGGCGGGAGTGAGTGGGGATAGTAACAAACACTCTGTAAACATAAACTGTAGCACTGAAACCAGACACAGGACATAGTTGCCTGAATGATTGGGATGTGGGTCCTGGAGCCAGACTGCCTACCCTGGAGGCCCTGACTCCTACACTCCATGCCTTAGAGATCGTGGGAGCTACTTAGACTCTGAAACTTGGTTTCTTCAACTGACAGGGGCTGGGCCAGGTGACCTGAAGTTCTCATCCCTTCTTGTAGAATCTTCCACTAGTCTTGCCCACTACCCTCATGCACATAGGCCCACATCAGGCTTTCATGAGGAGCTTCCAGGAGAATGGAGGAGCCTAGGATGCAGGAGTCAGAGGTGGGGCTCCAGTGGGCCTGCAGCCAGCTACATGACCTATCTTTGAACCTCACTCTATCTGTAAAATGGGAGTCATAATAAATATTTGTACAGGCTTCTTCTTGAAAGGCTTATTTAGGAAAATTCATTTGGAAATTCTGTGTAACATACCACAATACATGCATCTAAATGTCTAATTTCAACACCTTTAAAAAAAAGATTTTATTTATCTATTCATGAGAGACAGAGAGAGAGAGAGAGAGAGAGAGAGGCAGAGACACAGGCAGAGGAGAAGCAGGCTCCCTGAGGGGAGCCTGATGCGAGACTCGATCCCAAGATCCCAGGATAATGACCTGAGCCAAAGGCAAATGCTCAACCACTGGGTCACCCAGGTGCCCCCTCAACACCTTCTTAGTAACAGAAGAAAGTCAATATCATTTAAGAGTTTTAGTATATGTGCTGCCAAAGTGAGCACAGTGTCTTTTAAGAGTTTTAACTTCAGGGACGCCTGGGTAGCTCAGTGGTTCAGTGTCCATCTTTGGCTCAGGTTGTGATCCCAGCATCCTGGGATTGAGTGCTGCATTGGGCTCCCGACGGGGAGCCTGCTTCTCTTTCTGCCTGTGTCTCTGCCTCTCTCTGTGTGTCTCTCATGAATAAATAAAATCTTAAAGAAAAAAAAAGTTTTAATTTCAAGGTAGTACAATTTTTCTTGTGTATTATAAAGATCCCACATGTTTAATAATGAAAACCAATTTATGAACATTGTAAGTTATCTTGTGTTTTTGAGATTAAGATATATTATTAGGCTGCCTGCGTAGCTTACTTGGTTGGGCATCTGCCTTCAGCTCGGGTGAAGCTGCTGGGATCCCAGCATGCTGGGATCGAGTCCCACATTAGGCCCCTGTTTCTCCCTCTGCCCCTCCCCCTGTTGGTACTCTCAAGTAAATTCATAAAATCTTAAAAAATATATATATATATATATAAAATACTTGGTACTCTCAAGTAAATACATAAAATCTTAATATATATATATAATTAAGTCTCTGCTCCTCTCCTAGGGTCTGAAGCCACAACAAAGATGTACAATTCTTTTTTTTTTTTAACTTTATTTTTATTTTTTATGATAGTCACAGAGAGAGAGAGAGAGAGAGAGAGGCAGAAGCAGGCTCCATGCACCAGGAGCCCAATATGGGATTCGATCCCAGGTCTCCAGGATTGCGCCCTGGGCCAAAGGCAGGCATCAAACCGCTGCGCCACCCAGGGATCCCTACAATTAAATTCTTCACAGGAACAGTAAACTGACCTCGTTAAGATCAGGCATTGTGGGTATTGTGGGTTTTGTGGCTTTGAGTTCTAGCTCCCTCTGCTGGCAGCCATGTCACCAATCATCAGCTCATTTTACCAGTCCTGTTTCCTCATCTGTACAGCAGAGATTGGCACACTCACCAGGAAGGAGGTGGGAAAATTAAATAAAGCTCTAATATGTGAAGGGCCTGGTCCTATGCAGGAATCAATGAATGTTTGTTCCTTTCTCCTTTATGAGTTGAATCTTTTGTAGGTATGAACATTCTTTTAAGGCTATTATTTCATGTAATTCTTACCTCACTGTTGAGAGGCAGGGATGGAGATGCCAGTATTACTATTTCCATTTTACTAAATAGGAAGCACAGTCCCAGAAGTGTTACAAGGTCACTCATTTGGGGTCTGCAGTGAGGCTTTATGGCAGATGGTTGAAAACATGGGCTCTGGAGCTAGGCTGTCTTTATCTTGTTTCTGTCATTTACTAACTGTAGGACATTTGGGGAGTTACTTAACCTCCCAATGCCTTCATTTTCTCATCTGTAAAATGGGATGTTATCTATTTCTTATATTTGTTTTGTGAATTAAACAAGTTATTTTTTTTAATTAAACAAGTTCTTGCATGTAAAATTTAGAACAGAGTCTGGCACAGAGTAAGTACTCAGTAATATCAGCAATTATGATTATTTGTATTTCTTTCCATTCCCCTTTTCTGCCTCAATATTTTTATCTTCTACCCTCATCCCCTGAAATGTGCAACGCTTCCTACATGCACCAGGAAAAATGAATGAAATGCCCTGTGGATAGGCAGGAAATGCATGAATGACATGTGTAGAATGAGCTGGTTTCTATAAAGCTCTACATGCTGAAGACAGGACTTTCTTTTTTTTCTTTTTTTTAAGATTTTATTTATTCATGAGAGACACAGAGAAGCAGAGACACAGGCAGAGGAAGAGGCAGGCTCAAGGCAGGGAGCCCAAAGTGGGACTCGATCCCAGGTCTCCAGGATCAAGACCTGAGTTAAAGGCAGATGCTTAACCGCTGAGCCACCCAGGCATCCCTGAAGACAGGATTTTTCTCTGTTTGAATTCACCATCCTTTTCTACACAAGACCTGAGATTTGTCCTTTTCTACAATACTTAGGATTTCCTAAGAATCCAGGAGCTACCATGTCAAGAAGGGGAAGGTTTACCTAAGGAGATCTTTTAACACTGAATATTCCCAAGAAAAGGTGTCATCTTTTGGGCAAGGACAGTTTGGGTGTCAGAAAGCCTACTGTGTGCTTTGTGAGTCCTCTGTAGAAGCAGGCAAAATTACAATTTCTGTGAGTGTTGCAAAGGGTGGACAGGAACGTGGGCCTTAGGGATAACAATGCCTTCCCCTCTATAACATGGTGCCAACACTGACAGAAAGTGTAACCCAAAAGCATTGTGGACACTAAATGAACAAAAAATTATTGTAAAATTCTACACTCTAAATTCTGTAATTTCTAGATGCTCTATAAATATACTTATCTCATTTCCATAGTAATTACCACCTTTGAACATAGTATACATGTTGCCTAGGGCAGGACAAGGATCTTGGTCTCTTTTGTTTGCTGATGTATTCCAAATGCTCAGAGAGGGCCAGAGACACAGTAGGTAGTAGATGTTCACTAGGGATTGAATGAGTGAATAGTGATGATGTTCATCTTATCCCATCCTGGGAAGTACCAACCATAATTCTTTAGGCCCTAAGGGGAGAACTAAACTGATGCTAAGGAAAAAAAAAAGGTAGTTTCATTATTATAAGTATTTTGGACTGAATTGTGTTCCTCCAAAATTCATATATTGACCTCTACCACCAGTACCTCAGAACGTTATTGTACTTGGAGACACAGTCCTTAAAAACTTAAAATGAGGTGAGCTCATCATCGGAGTGGGCTCTAATCCAGTATGACTGGTGCCCTCATAAGAAGAGGTGATTAGGACATAGACACACACAGAGGGAAAACCATGTGAAGACATAGGGAGAAGATGGCCACCTATAAGCCAAGGAGAAAGGCCTCGGAGGAAACCAACTTTGCCAACTCCTAGGTCTCAGACCTATGGTTTCCAGAATTGTGAGAAAATAAATTTCTATTGTTTAAGCCACCTAGCCTGTGGTACTTTGTTTGGAAACTAGCAAACTAATATAAATAACAAATTAATTATTTTGAGGGGTGCCTGAATGGCTCAGTCAGTTAAGCATCTGCCTTCAGCTCAGGTCATGATCCTGGAGTCCTGGGATTGAGTCCTGCATCAGGCTCCCTGCTCAGTGGGGAGTCTGCTTCTCCCTCTACCCCTCCCCCTGCTTCTTCTTTCCCTAATAAATAAGTACAATCTTTGAAAAAAATAATTATTTTGAATACTTGTAACGATTTTTTTTCCTGTCCAGAATCATTCTTTCTTACTGTGGTTATAAGGACCCTATTTCTCCTTTTTGAGACATTCCCCCCCACTCCACTTTTTGTCTGTAACTTCAGGTTGGGTCATTTAGTGTATTTCAATTTCCGGCCACAGTGATTCATTTGGGCATGGGCATGTGACCCAAATTGGGCCAATGAGATTTAGTTCCAGAATAATCTAGAGAAGTCAGTGACCACCTTGCTACACGGGGAAAGAACCTATGTAAGAGAGGAAACAGAGGAAAACTGAGCCTAGCCATGGAGTGAGATAGATTTGGGGCAAATACATGACTCCTTATCAAAGCCCCACATTGCAGAGTGAGGATTGGAACAGCCCAGAGAAGATGTAACCTGAGAACTCTAGATTAGCTGAGGTTAGGAGGGTGACCCTCATGACCTCCTAAGTCTCTGACAGTTTACAGCATTGGATGGTGCCACCGTCATGAACCCTGCATGTATTTGGTTTCTTCTGTTTCAGTTCTTCCTAGTCACTTCTTATCAAGGGCCTGGGGTGTTGTTCTCTAGGGTAGTACAAAGAATTGGAGATCCTTCCATGGCAAACTTTGCTTTGTTCCTGATTAGTTTCTTTTACTTCCTGATCATTTATTTCCAGTTCGTTCAGCTCTTAGGGGGGCAAAGAATGGAAAAGAAGAGGACCCTAAGCCAGAGGGCTGTTGGATAAGAAGAGGACCCTAAGCCAGAGGGCTGTTGGATAAGAAGAGGACCAATTTATGGGGTATTCAGTGAACACCTTCCATGTGCCAGGCACTGTGTTAGATGCTGGGGCAGGAGAGACTATCGCAAAGCTGGACAAATGACATTCCCCCCGCCCCACCACAGGAACTCTCAGTACCCTTAACTAGTTATGATGCTGAGCTTAGGAGAATAATGAACTCTTAGGAAACAGAAAATAAGGTCAGACATCCAAAGAAGATATGCAGTTGACTTGTAAATAGTTACCAAGAATCAGTCTTCTCCTTCAGTCAGAACACCAGCTCTACCCAGTCACAGTGATAAAACAGTAACAATTATTTTAGCTACTGTCAAGATAAAATGAATTATATTTGCTTGTTTTATGAGGTAGTTCAAGGTTATCCTTTCTCCTCTCTTTTCTCTGTCCCCCACCACCCAAACCAGACACCCAACTGATTTGTCCCCGATGGCTGGCTGTGATTACTGTCCTAATTTGTTCTTCCTTCATCTGCTACAAACTGCCTATTTTCTGTCCCTTCTGATAAAGCAGGAACTCTGAGGGACTTCTGAAGCTGTTTTTGTACCATGCAGAAATGTATTAACTGGAATGCCTGTGTATGTGTCTATAAAACCCCTCGTCTTCTCAGTGTGAGATCACCTTCAGGAACGGCGTCATGTCGATGTGCAGCTTGCGCGTGTAAAATTCTTTTCTGTTTGAACATATCAGCCCTTTATTTATACAACTTTGAGGCTCTCCTGTCTTCTGAGCTGCTGCCTCCAAGGACTGCTGGGCTCCCTGTGAAGAGAAGCAGAAAGCCCAACTTTCATAGGAATGATATACAGTGCGACAAGAGCTAGTCTAAATCCCCAAATATTTATAGAAAGTAATTTTTCATCGTTGGAACACTAGTCATAACACCTATTTTTACCATTGAAGACACAGGGGACCCAGATGTATAGAGGATAATCCAAGACTTATTAATTCATACCCGGGATCAGTAATAATGGGAAAAGGGGAAAAAGGGCCTTCCTGTGTTTCAGGATTGTAATCATTTTATTTAATCTTCCCAACAACCCTGTTCTTGTTATTCCCATTTCACAGATGAGGAAATAGGGGCTCTGGGAGTTACTTAATGTAATTTGACCAAAGCCAAATAGTTGGTAAATGGCAGAGCTGAAATCACCATCTGCCCCAGGCTCCCCCACCCTCCACCTTTTAAAAAAGATTTTAATTATTTATTTGACAAAGGAAGAGAGAGAGAGAGAGAGAGAGAGAGCACAAGCAGGGAGAACAGCAGGCAGAGAGAGAAGCTTACTCCCCCCGGAGTAGGAGTCCTATGCAGGGCTCCATTCCAGGACCCTGGAACCATGACTTGAGCCGAAGTCAGATGCTTAACCAACTGAGCCACCCAGGCGCCCCACCCCCCTGCCCCAGACTCCTTTTTTAATGAGAGCTTTTCAATGCTTCTATGGCTTCCACAAATGGTTATCAAATCTACCTTGCAGATAAAGTTATAGTAAAATTCCAGTTTATTTGCAAGCTTATTTGATGTGTTAGGAAGAGTGATTTGAACAAATCTAGCAAGAGGGAAGGAAGAATGGAAGGCCCCAAGGCCTCTTCAATCTCTTGGGCCATGCCCTCTTCCTGTTACCACAATATACAAGTTATGTCATGTTTCAGAGCACAACAAGGTTTGATCTGAAGTTGCTTTCTAGCCCATGCTCCATATTGCAACGTAGGTGATCTTTCTAAGATGCAAAGTAGACCACACCAGTCCTCTCCTCTGCTTAAAACATTAAAAGACCCTTGCCCTCAGTGTGATGGCTAACCTTGCCCTGCTTGCCTGGCCCTGGACTATCTCTTCTGCCTCATTCAGTCATTCAACAAATATTTACTGAGTCCCTTCTCTATGCCCAGTAGAGCAGATACAGCACTGCAAGAAGCAGACAGAAGTCTCCACCCTCGTGAAAACTGCACATACATTCTATTGGGAGGGAAGAGATAACAAGGAAATGGAACATAAGTTATGTCTGCCAGTGATTCGTGATATGAAGAAAAATAAGGCAGTAAGGGGAGTAAGGAGTAGCTGGAGATGGCAGTTGAGGCTGCAATTTTAAGCAGGGTACTTGGGGAAGGCACCATAAGAAAGTGATGTTTAAGCAAAGCTCTGAAGAAGGCCTGGGAAGGTTCTGTGGGGCTTCCTGTAGGAACTGTTTACCACACTGTGGGAATAGCAAGTGCAAAAAGCTACCCCCAACACGATCTTTTGGTTCCTGGAGCAATTCCCTTCCCTTTCCTGGGAACACATTCCTCTCCTTTAATTCCTCCTCAGCCTTCACGTCTGGCTCATCTGGGCCTTCCATGACATCCCACAACATGGAGCACTTCTCCCATGGCCCACAATGATGCTCATGCTGTGCAGCCAACTTGCCTCCCCACTAGACGACAAGCTCCATGAGGGCAGGTACCATGATTGTGCCGTTCCCAGGTAACAGCAGTGTCTGGCACAGGGTCTGAAACAAATATACACTTGACAGGTATTTACTGAACGAAAGAGTAACAATCACATTGGGGCAAGTTACATGTTATGGCCCAATTCAGTTAAAATGGGGAAGGCCAGTGAAGGCGCCTTTACAGGAAGTATGTATTGACCTCCAGAAGCTAATCCTCTGCACAGCATTGGCTCCTCATTCCCAAAGAGGAAAGTTATTTGTTACTTTTCAGGGCTGATTTGCTGGGGTCACTAGTATGCCATGAGGTCACCCTGGGTGTGGATTTGATCATTTCCATATTTTCTAGGAGACTAAATCTCTCTGGGCCATTATAAACTCCCTGTCCTATAACATTTATATTAAAGTATTAATGATGAATTAACAGTTGGGGCCCCACAAACAGCCGTCATTTTGATGAACATCTCCACCCTTTTGAAATATGGCTAAAGACTTTTCTGGACAAACACATGTCCAATTTTTTGTCATTTCAGTCATTTTTCTGATTAGCTTCTCAGAGTGAGACAGCCTCTCCCTATTTCTAGATCAAATGAAAACATTCGGTCCAAGCTAGAACCATATGAAAAATTTGAAGCAGCTTTCTAGCTTCCAAAATCATGCATGAATCACTGGGTGCAATAATAGAAATCAGACAATACTGATTTGAGGGAAATTTCTCCATTATCTTCAAGAGAAGATTTTGTGTTAGCCCAGAGGACAAAATCATAGTCACAGCCAGTTCCAATGGCTAGAATTACTTTCTTATGTGGGGCTCAGATTGAAGAGTAGGGAGTTGCGAGGCTTTGAGAAGAGTCCCTCCAAGTCATCTGACCTGTAATCTTTTTTTTTTTTCTTAAGTAGGCTCCACATCCAGCGTGGAGCCCAACATGGGGCTTGAACTCATGACCCTGAGATCAATCCTGGGCTGAGATCAAGAATCGAATGCTTAACCAACTGAACCACCCAGGTGCCCCCGTGGCCTGTACATCTTTTGATAAAACAATTCTCTTAATTGTGTGGCTCATCTCCTTAACTTTAGAGGCCATGAATTCTCACTTGATGGAATGTCATCAGTGAAGGTTCTATAGTCACTGGAATTTTGTAAAGAACTGTTTTTACTTATTACTACATTCAAGTGTTCTAACAAATAAATGACAGTGAGAGGGGGCTTTGGAGATGGGAGGCAAGGAAATATTAACTATATTAACTATATAAGATTCTGGGAGGTAGTGAGAAGAGGAAAAAAAGTCAGAAAGTAAAAACCAGGCAAGAAAGCCATGTGTTGGGATGGGTTTGCATTTATTCATCAAGCTGGTATTTATTCAGTGATACTGTATGTGTCAGACATACACATACATAGCAGGATGATTTTAGATAGTCTATGAAGAGAATGAAACAGTATAGGATGGAGGTTGGTGAGCAGGGGTGGGACTAGCCTTTGGGTGATGTGGGAAGATCTTTCTGAGATGAGCGGAGTGGAGAGCTAGGTGATAAGAAGAAGTCGACCATGGGAGGATCTATCTTTTGCACTCAGTGTAGCCCGTATCTGATTATTTAGAGGTAAAACCAGGCAGGAGTCCTCTGAAAAGGAAAGTGGAATTCCTGATTTCTAGGCCTCTTCTGACCAGCCCTCTGGGCTCCATCCCTGATCCTGCAAGGCACACTTCTGTTTTCTGGGTGGGACAGCAATCATAATTACACTTGCAACTCTTGGGCTATTTTGAGAGCAAAGAAGCAGAATAAATAGTAAACAGGAGTCAAAATAGCTGAAGATGCATAAAAGGGAGAAGAAAGCAGAAGGATAGATGGAAGGGAAGGAAAATGGAGGAACTAGTTGAAAGTAGAGATGCCTGAAGCTTTTTTGTTTCTTTCCTGTGCAGACTTCATTGGACAAGATTACAAAACTGGTGGAAGGGTGAACTTTAGCAGAAAGTCAAAACCCACCTATACTGTACTGTAATTACTTTAATATTTTCATGTTCTGCTAAGAAACACCTGAGAGCCTTTCTTTTCAGTAAATGAAACAATAAAGATTAATGAGTTAATTTGGTAAAGCTGATTTGAATTGCACAGAGGTGTTGCATAAGTACTTGGCATTTAAAAAGTTATCTGACATTTAAAAGGAGATGGCTGTTAATGAATTCAAGAGCTAATCTTATACTCTGACAGAGAGAGCCATGGAAAATCCAGGATTATTATCTTGCTGTAAACATAATGTGATTCAGTTGAAAGCCAGAACAAAAGAGAGCTATGGGCTGTAATACAAATATCCATAAGTGCACATATATAATGTAGTAAAACTTAGAGGATGTCCATTAAATAAATGCCATTTCCTTTCTTGCTCCTATAATATTTGAGCCACAAACTTAAAAAAAACCCTTCTCTCCAATAGTTTTTCCTCCTCCTTTCAACTTGTATATTTTGAAGAGTCACCACGATGGGTTGGCTCTACAGTCATTGGAATGACTTACCTTAAGAAGGAAAGCAGATTCTAAACTCAGTCAGCTAGATCTCCACCCATGGGTCCCACAGAGCCACCATACAGATCTGTCCTGCAGGCATCTCTCAGACCCTCCTCTTTACTTCTCCCACTCCTTTCTAATTGGGGTTCCCCCATCTCCCTAGCTGTGGCTTAATGGCTCCAAGAAGAGCTATTGTCCCTCATTAAGGAGGCTGCAACACTCTCGCTGTCTAACTGCCTCCCACGCAGCTCACAACTTCATTCTGCCTGAGAGAAAGCTGCCAAGAGTCTCTGGGAACCTGTGGGCAGGCTGAGCTGGAGGAAGAAAACAGAAGGAAGGAGGGCCTTTGTAGCCAAGATCTGAAATATGCTGGGGCACACACCCCATCATTATCTTAATGCATGGAGAGCAGGGTCGGGAGGCCTTTGCTGAAACCCTTATGTGGGCTATCAAGTTGTCACATCAAACCTCTGTGCACACAGGGCATTTGTCCCCTCCTGTGAGCAAACAAAAGGAAAAGAGCCATTCTCTCCTCTGGATCACCAGGCCCCCCTCCTTGGCTGAGAGTCTGTCCCTCCACTTTCCTGGGGGTTGGGGAGACTCTGAATCCCAGCAGGAATGGAGAGATCTGAGAGATTTAGTCACAGGGGGTGGGGAGGGGTGAAGAGGGCTAGGATTCTGAGCTTCCCCCTCACCATGCGCCCTGCTGGGTAGGTGGGGACCAAATCCTGGAAAGAGCCACTCCTGCCAGGGCCATGGGCTGAAGGATCTGGCTAGTTCCCCAGTACCTGGCCTTCTCAGGCCCTGTTATTTCTTGCCCATGGAAGCCTGTGGAACTAAAAGT